AATTATCCTAGCCATAACACTTTTTCCCCTCAGTCACCTTTAGACCTACCTTAACAAGTTTCAATCTCTCTCACTTCGAGATAACCAACATACATTAATTTATTACAGAAAACCTTCCCATCCTGAGAAATGCTATATCTCCATCTATAACAGTGTATTCGTAAGGTTTTCAGTAAAGAATTTGAGTTTTCTTGATACAGATCTTTTATATTCTTGTAGTTATTTCTAGGTATATTATGGGGCTTTTTCATTCCTAGTCAGATTCTGGGAATAGAATATTTTTTCTTTCGTTTAGAGATCTGAAGAAATTATCTTTTAACCCCAAGTCAAATTAAAATTTTACAAAAGCACAGCAAGAATCTAGCTGGTTAAAGAGTCACTGGGTATGACTTCATTTAAAAAATGGTCAGCAGTCCTCATGATATTTAATTTTTTATTGTTATCATTCCCCCAAGGAAATGATTACCAAATCCCCAACTGTATTACAATATTTGGAATAATGCCTTAACTATAGTAAGCATTCACTAGATAGTTTCTGCTGAGTAAAAGGAATATCTAATCAATAAAACATATAAAGATCTAATTAAGGAATTTATGTATACATGTTTTTGTTGGTAGCTTTTCCTAATAGGGTATTTGTTTCATCTTCCCATTGACAAACAACTGATAAACACAATCAGAATACAAAATATCCTCAAGCATCATGTTTACAATTTAGCTTTATTTATAGAAGTAACTTTTACCTGAATGGCAATATTGTGATCTTGAGCAATTTCGAGTTCTTTGTTTTTCTCAGTTAGTGCCTTCAGCTGACTGTCTGGATAAAATGAATTTTTTGAACATACACATGTTAGCTTACAACTTGCAATAAGTGTTTTTATCCAACTGTCACCCTTGCACATTTTAAGAATGAGGGAAACTGAAGCCCAGAAAGACTGAATTGTACATCAGATTCCAAAGTTATGAAGACATTCCAAATTTACTGTATTCCAGACCAAAATTTCAAATATGCTATCCTGTCTCCAAAATCAAGCACAAGAATTCTGGCCAACATTTATAGGAAAAAGTATGTGCAATTTCCTTATTTTTCAATGATATCTTCTAAATCAACATATATCATAAAAAACAGTGGATTGTATTTAGAAATAAGAAAAGTGAACTAAAAAGACAGGATTAAGAGAGAAAATAACATTTAAATTACATAAAATGTACATGTAACAAATTACAGCAATGGATATTTGCAATTCCACTTGTTCATCACTCTAAACAGAGCCTTTAATGTGGATGAGAAAAGTATGCTTGATACTCAATTATCAATTCCTTGATCTCCACTCAAAATGGGCTATCTTGCTTTATACATAGTTTCTCTTTCAAACAGATGCAGATAACTAGAAAGAATATACTTTTTGAAACTTTATTCCACTAAAATGCATTTATCTTATGTGCTGGCAATTTAATGACCAAATACATTATAACTAATTCCAATCTATTTAAGATTGGGGTAACTGTATACCCCAGGAAGGTATCTGATGTTTATCTAGGGTTAGCCTTATCTTCTCCCTCTCCCAGATCTCATGAAAGTAGTTATAATCACAGGCGTTTTTCTGAAATTCCTCAGCACCACTGCTGAACAGATTTTTTTATTATGCCAAGGGAAAACTATGTAAATAACGAACAAGATCTAACTATTTCTGTTCCATCACACATGTATACATATCATCATTCATATACATCGTGTTTTAAACATGACAGTGCCAAAAGTAGCTGAAAAAAGTTATAAACCAAACAGCTGATGGGCATGGATCCAGTAAGAGAGAAAGTTGAAAATTTTAATGATTCCTTTGACTGTGAGCTTCCCGTGTTCCTTCTCCATCAAATTAAAATTGAACTATATTTAATATCACTGAATTAAGCCGTTAGTCTGTAAGATCTTTCCTGACGTTAGCTTTCTTTAATCACAAGCAAAGCACAAGACACATCATTCTTGTAAGAAATGTCAGGGTCTTTAACTAAGATCTTGTGTAGCATCTAAGATTTAACAATGTAGAAAATCTAAGATGGAAATTAGTTATCCACCTTTCTCAGGAACTAGGTCTTAAAGAGGAAATATCCTGAGATTCATAGATATTTATAAAATTTAAAACAGAATAAAGAGAGTTAACATATAAATGAAATCAACAGGCTTTAATTCTTTACCATAAAAATAATTAAGTCATTCTCTTTAAATTACTTCTTCAGTAGCAGAATGCTTTAGTCTCTTCAAAAGGCTTTCAAAAATATCATTTGATATGTAAAGCTGTGTAAGCAGATGGACACACAGGTCTAACCATTTTATAAACAATCACACATATTATGATTTACACATGGCAAAACTTCTTTTAATAGCAACTCAAAATTAGAACCTGTGTCTCCTGACCATTAAGCCATGTGTTCTTACAAAGTGTTTACCCTGGAGTGAAAAATTCAAAATATTACCATAAACAAAAACAATGACGTTTAATCAGTATTTTCGTATATAGTAACCAAATGTTTCCAAAGCATACAAAGGAGTGTCTGAAAATCTCAACACTCCAAGAATACTTATAAAGAAGTGATCAAATACTTACTGAGTTTCTCTAGCTCAACTCGTAAGCTTTGGCATTCTCGCGTTTCATTCACAAGTCTCTCCTGACTGTGGGATAGCCTCTTTTCTATCTCAAAGTACTGTTGTTCTACAAAAGACAAGCAAAAAAATAATAACAATAAACTAAAACACACATGTACACACATTGTCAATACTGCTATTTACTTCTAATAACTTGGATTTTAAAATTTAAGATATAGTATTGGAATTGCACTCCCAATAAGAGAATCTGAGTAAAGATAATTAGGTTGAGCACTGAGAAGGACTTATCTTCCAAATGACTAACATGACAAAAGAAAATAGGTCTAAAAGGGTTTTACAAATGAATTTTTTTCAAGACAGGCAACATGTCTTATTTATCTTATTCCTTACCTTAGACATCAGTAGACAGCTCAGCATTAAGCAGACTAAAAATAAGTATTTATTAAATGGAGAAAAAAATTGTTTAGATTAAAAACTGCTTTGCTTTAAAAGGCTTGTTTTAAAGTAGCCAAAATAATATCTGAAAGTATAAAATTACTAAATTTATGTAAAAGTGTGTAAACTTCCCGAGGGTAGGAATTAAGTCTGTCTTGTTCAGCACAGTATCAGGCACACAGAAGACGCTCAATATTTATTATGTAAATTAATGAATAGAATGCAGTGTTCTATACTTACCTGTGAATTCACAGAACTAATTTTCACAATCAATTCTGCTTGATAATTACATTTTTGAAGTGAAAATTTATTGTTTCCAGTCAATTTAGCAAAAAACAGTTACTAATTTTCCCAAACAAATGGTAAACCAAACACAAGAGGAAGTTGTATTTTGCTGATGGTAATTACTAGTCTTAATCTTTTCCCAAGGATGTTCCAGCCACTATTACTGATAACTTTCTTATTTGAAGGCCCACTTTCGCTAATTATAAGCAGATCTTAATATATTTGCTACCAAATTCCAACTTTTAGAGAAAAATCGATATTTTAAACCTATTTACTGCACATTCACTGTGTTTCCAGCGCTGTCTTAGGTACCTAATGTTCATTTTTGTCAATATCTAGTTCGTTATGGGATCACAGGCCGACAAACTGAACAAGTGCACAAAGTGGTCAATTGGGCAAAGGCCTATGAATGCAGGTGACAAGGAAACAGGATGGAAATCACTATCATTTAAAGTGCAATTATGCATGCAGATAAGGTACCCTAGGCTTAGAGAGCAAGGGGTCGCAGAATTTCGCAAGTCCGGTGTAAAAAGACCCAAACTCCTGTTTGTTGGACAAAGTTAAGCGTCCCTATATGAGAGCACCCTCATTACAAAGAAAACTGAAACAAACGTGGATTCTAACGTTTTGTGAAAAGGCTTCTTCTTATCACACTGTGGGGAGTGGAAAAGAGAAGGCCTAGGATGCCAGAGGAGTCCAGGAAGTGGTGCTACACAGAGTGCGAGCTTGCGAGGGGGAAGATCAAACGCAGCTCCGGAGACGAGCCCAAAACCAAGGGCTGGAAGACCGACTCACTTACCGCTCTCCACCTTAAATTTCTCGTGCCGCCCCTTCAGGCCATCGATCTCGGATTGCTGATCAGCAAGGAACTTCTCAAGTTTGTTCTGCACAGACTTAGGCAGCTTATTGAGCTCCGTGCGCTCCAGGACTTGCTGCAACACCGCCGCCATGTCGGTCGGGCCGGGGCCCACGGTGGCAGTGGCCGACGGAGTAGAAGCCGTGAAGAAAGGCGAAGACCAAGAGGACCCAGAAGCCTGGGACGCCGCGTCGGCCGCCTCGCTCGGTGGCTCGCGCGCGCCTGCCCGCCGGAGACTCCCGCGGCGGTACCCTGGGAAATCGAGTCCAGCCTTAGCGGCAGCACTGGCGGCCCAACACCGCCCGCGCCCAGACCGCGCACGCAGCTGCCGGGAGCTGTGCAACCTGGGAATCCGAGTTCAGAGGCTGCCTCTGAGTCTGTTGTGTACCCCAATTTCCGGCTCCCCGCTCCACCCACTTCGGGCCTCGCAGGGCTCTGGGAAACGTAGTGTTTTTCTCTTTCCCTTCCGTAAACCCAATCCACACCGCCCACTGCGCTTCCTCCCTTCTCCCCGCCCCCCGGCTCTCCTCGCTCAGCCGCGTGACTACTGTCCGCGCGGTGGCGCCACATACATACTCGTCAACCCACGTCCCTTCTTGAAGAGCCGGGCGTCCTTACCGTCAAAGCCCCGGGATGCCATGGGTCGTCCTTTTTGGCGGCTTCTGGACACTGAGCCACTAGAGGGCATCGGTCCCGGCAGGGCTGGACGGTAGGCCTTGGGCTACCGCCACGCTCTCAATGGCGCCCGGAAGGGGGCGGGGTGGCGACCGCAGTCGCTTTGGCTGTGGCTCTGCAGGGAAGGGAGGGTGGGCAGTTTGCGTCATCAATCTGCGCCACCTGACTCTTGAGACCCGGTGTTGGAGTGGGAAGTCGGTCGCGTTCTGATGAAATCATTGGCTGTGGAATTGGGACCGGAGGGTAATCTAGCTCCTAGAGGCTGGTACTTGCACCTTAACCCTCCATCTCCAGAGGACAGTTTGACGGATTTTTCTGCCACGAGTGCACATTCTGAAAGCAGGTAAGACAGCCTAAGGATGTAATACGTGTGTATGTGCACTCTGTGACACAGAGCTCCCTTTTTAAGGGAGAAAGAAAGGGACAGAGTGCAGGAAACATATGGATTGTCACTCTGGTACACACCTTTGACAAATTTACCTTATGCGAAACGGGCTTTGGGGCGTGGGGGAGGGAGGATCCTGAGTGATTTAGAAGGAATTTAAGTATCCCGGTTAATTTTTCAGGAAGAGGGTTAAAAGAAACCGAGAGTTTGAGTGTAGCCTATGTTTTAATGTTTCATTGCAGGAAGTGTTACCTAACATCATGTTGATGTTTTAAACTTGAAAACCGTTGTAACTAAAGTTTTTAAACACATTCTTAAAAGCCGCTTCCCACCCTGCCACCATAACAGAATTGCTTGTTTCCAAATCATAATTCTGTAATTTCTAAGCTCAATTTATCATTACTTCATGTTTGGTTACTTTTCTGAAAGAATTTATTGTAAATAAAGCATTCCTAATGTCGTCCTCTTTGCAGTTCCCACAGTCGTGGGCTTTCTGTGAATTGGTGATTTAGTTCTCACGTGAAATTTATTCTTTTTTTCTCTAGTTCATACTTTTGAATCTGTTGTTCTGAAGCCATCTAAGAAATATAAACAGAAGCATCTTATGATATTTCGTGATAATGAAAGTAAATTAGTAATGAGCTTAAGGTTGATTTTTTCCTCAAAAATATTTTATAAATAAGCACTTTAAGGTTGCTGGAATGTGAAGTACTGTGCTATGTCCTAGGCGCACAGTATTATCATACTGTTGATCTATCATTTGGGAAGTGCAGATATTTTGTACTGAGAGTCACAGAACCCTAAAATTGGATAGGTTTTCAGATCTGTGAGGATCCAAATTCTTTAGTTAGTGGATTAGGAAACCAGAGTCCAGGGAGGTTGAGTTGTCTTAGGTCACAGTGCTTAGACCACAGAAACTTTGGCTGATGCACAACATTTTGGGAAAATTGTAACTGTGTAAGGCAAGATACAGTTGTCCCTTGGTATCCATGGGGAGTTTGTTCCAGGGTCTCCCAAGGATACCAAAATCTGTGGATGCTCAAGTCTGTTATATAAAATGGTGTAGTATTTGCATATAACCTACACTCATACTCCTGTATTCTTTAAATCATCTCTACATATATCTAATAGAATGTAAATACTGTGTAAATAGTTGTTATACTGTATTATTTAGGGAATAATGACATGAAAAAAAGTCTATACATGTTCAGTACAGATAGAACCATCATTTTTTTTTTTTTTTTTTGAGACAGAGTCTCACTGTGTTGCCCAGGCTAGAGTGCCGTGGTGTCATCCTCGCTCATAGCAACCTCAAACTCCTGGGCTCAAGCGATCCTCCTGCCTCAGCCTCCCGAGTAGCTGGGACTACAGGCATGCGCCACCATGCCCGGCTAATTTTTTCTGGATTTTTAGTTGTCCAATTAATTTCTTTCTATTTTTAGTAGAGACGGGGTCTCGCTCTTGCTCAGGCTGGTTTCGAACTCCTGAGCTCAAACGATCCGCCTGCCTCGGCCTCCCAGAGAGCTAGGATTACAGGCGTGAGCCACCGCGCCGGGCCGGAACCATCATTTTTTTTCTGAATAGTTTGAGTCCAGGGTTGGTTCAATCGACAGATACAGAAAACACAGATACAGAGAGCTGACTGTATACATTTTTAGTAGTGTCTTTTATAAAATATGGTTGACTACATTTAAAAATTTTGAAAGAGCTCTAAAGAAAAATTTATCTGACATTCATCCAGGTTTCATAATCAAATAGATTTTCATCTCCCTATTGCATTCAATTTCTTACATATTAATTTGGCTGGTAGGTGATACTGGGGAAATAAGGTTAGAAGATTAAATATAAGTTTGGAGTTGCTTGTTATTTCTTGCAAGAATTAAGAATTATTAGGGCAGAAGGAAAAGGAATAGAATAACATGACGAAATAAATATATAGAACTACGTACCTTAAGGTTACAGTCCCCATCCCCAGGTGGAGGACTGAAACGGTCCCTGGCCTGTTAGGAATGGGCCACACAGCGGAAGGTGAGCAGTGGACTAGCTAGCGAAGCTTCATCTGTATTTACAGCCCAAGTTTCATCTGTATTTAACCGCCACTCCCCATCGCTTGCATCACTGAGCTCTGCCTCCTATCAGATCAGTGGCAGCATTAGATTCTCATAGGAATGTGAACCCTACTGTAAACTGTGCATGTGAGGGGTCTAGGTTGCATGCTCATTGTAAGTATCTAATGCCTGATGATCTGAGGTGGAGCTAAGGCAGTGATGCTAGTGTTTGGGGAGCAGCTGCAAATACAAATTATAATTAGCAGAGAGGTTAGACTGCACAGAGACCATAATAAATCAATTGCTGGCCGACTCATATCAAAACCCTATGTGGCAAGTGACAATGTAATACTAATAGAAATGAAGTGCACAATAAATGTAATGCACTTGAATCATTCCGAAACTATCTCCCCTGCCCTGGTCCATGGAAAAATTGTCTTCCATGAAAAAATTGTCTTTCCCTGGTGCCAAAAAAGTTGGGGAGCACTACCTTAAGGCATTACTAAAAGTTGACAGCCGTTAACTAGAGGCATCAGTGATTTGCACAGGGAGTTCTAGACTTAGTCTTTAAAAAATGGTATTCAAACCTGATTCACTTTTCACTGTTGTCAGAAAAGAGACAGGAAGAAATTAATGCATTTTGAGACAAAACTGAACAGGTTTTTTGAAACAGTAACAAAACAGCATCCAATAGGTCATTTCAAACTTGAACACATTTTCTGAGCTTTAATTTTAGAGTAATGCAAAACTTCCTTGTGACTGGAGTTTACTTTACTGGTGTCAGATATACCATACCAGCATATCTGTAGCCTTAACTCTGTGGTATTGAATAAGATTCAAATTCTTTACAAAACCCAAATTACTATTATTAAATATCTCTAAGTTGCAGTATTCAAAATGCTGCAACCAACTATGTTCCTACAGTCTCTGTTTGTATCTATTTTATAGGCTTTTTGAATATCATCTCTGTACGTTTTCATCTTCTGCACTGAATGTGAGCCCTTTGATCATTCATTATTGACTAACTTTTTTATTCAGTATCTTTGGTTTTAAGCCACAGAAACTCAAATCAGAGGAGCATAAGCCAGTAGGGGGAATGAATATACTGGTTTCCATCCACAAACTGGAGACAGAGCAGAATAGAAACTATCCTTAGTAATGACTTAATTGAGAGACTGGTTATGATTCCTCAGTATGAATGTAGTATTAAAGAACATGGATTTTAGAGCCAGACTGTCTAAGTTTAAATCTCATCTTTGCCACTTATCAGCTTTGTCACTTGGGCAAGTTATTTAATTAATCTTTTTCATTTCATTTTCTTCATCTGTAAAATGAAAATTACAGTAATAGTACCTACCTCATGGTGTGTTTGTGACTATTAAATGTTACATGTAAAGTACTTAGAATAATGTCTTGTACCAAATAGAAGCTATAGAAATGTTATTACATTGTTATTTATCTGTTTACGTAACTCTTACTGTATTAGGTGTTGTTCAAGGGAAAGATCAGGTGTTATTCATCTTTGTGTTAGCCCACCTGGCACAGTTTCTAGCAAATAGTAGTTCTTCAGTATATGTTTATTGAGTAAATGAATTTGATTCTTCTCCCTCTCAATGAGCTATTCAGAAATCCATCTTTTCTATTTTAGAAATGAGAACACTGAAGCTTAGCAATAGATTATCAAAGAAAATGCAACTAAGGAGAAGATCTAAAATAAGAAATCAGGTGTGTTGATAACTCCAAGTTTAGTGTCCTTTCCCTTATACCAGATATGAGAAATAGGTTTGATCTCTTCTGTCAACTGTGGTTGATTGGTAGTTGTTTCCTGAAGCACTGTGTTGAAAAGAATTCTATATTTGAACTTTGCAAGAAAGAATACTCTATTTAATAAGCAATCACTGCAAGGCACGGGGTAGTATCGGGATAGTACCACTTCTCTCCCTATACTACCCCCATGATAAAAACATTATAAATTATATTTAACCTAAAAATGCTATTTATTTTTTTCTTATAATTTAGGAGATTGAATTAGTTATCAATAATGGGAAGAACCTACATTGTGGAAGAGACTGTTGGCCAGTATCTTTCAAACATCAATCTCCAAGGAAAGGCTTTTGTCTCTGGCCTTTTAATAGGACAGGTATGTATCTTTTATTATGAATTTATTGATAAAACAAATGACCTGTTTATTTAAAGTTAAAGGATATTATTTAACAATAAACTCAAGTTTGGGAGATATAAGGATGGGATGTAGAAGAAATAAATTTAATATGAATTGTTGAGGCAGTATGTGGAGAAGTAGGACAAACCTAGTCCAGGTTTTCTCAAGTCAGAACACGTTCCCTTTTGACCATGTAGAAACGCTAGAATTAGAATTTTCATTGACCAGATGATTTACATTTTGTTGTCTTTCCAAAGTATTTTGTACTCTCTTCTAATCTTTATTACTTTCTGGTTATCTAATTCTTTATGAAAGAAGCTTTTGATAATTTTATTCCCATTCTAATTTGTCTTATTTCAGACTTGTGACGAGAGTGGTCATATTTTTTTTAGATGCTACAGGACCCATTATTATTGAAATTTTTCTTTTAAGTTGGTTCATTAGAAAGGAGGAGAGAAAGGGATTAGGGGAAATTTGGAAATTAGACAAATTCTATTTTCCTCATAGAGTTAAGTCTTAAAAATACATAAAATGGAACAGAGATTTGGACACTTAGGAAAAAGCATAAGCAGCCACTGATTTATTATAATTGAAAGAAGAATGTGTCAATCATCAGGACGACTGGTCAGCAATACAAAGCAAAAAAAAAAAGAAAAAGGAGAGTCTCGCAGGCAAACTGGCTACATCTATCCAAACACTAAGGGGAGAATGCACTGTGGCCCAAGAAGTTGATTTTGAGGCCTAGTAGCAAATAAAGCTCTCACTGTGACAATTTGCTTTTTGACTATCTTCGCCTGATGTCTTAGAATCTTCAAATTGCATAATTAACTTTCCGTATTCTCAATCTTTCTCTATTTGCAAGCTACTTTCTTTTCTAATTTGATGCCCTGTGTTATCTACGTATCAAGAATGCACAGCACAGAGGACTCCTGTTCAGATTCCTTCATGGCATTCCAGTTTTCTGTATCATTCTGAAAGAGCTTAGCTAATGTCAGTCTAGTCCTGAGAGACAGGTTCGTTTTCAGGATTTTTACAGATCAGATTTCTCAGTTTGCAAGACAGAGGGCAAATCTACACTGTTCACCCAGGTACTACTACCCTGTGAGACCTCTCATTAGACAGCCCGATTGTCTGTCTTGGCAATCACGTGAACTTTTGATTCAGGTTACTTTGCATCTAACCTGGGGCTCTCTTTGTTAGCAACTTTTTATTTAAAGTTTTTCCCTTTCCTTTATTTTCAAAATTTAAGGAAGAAGAGTCTTAGAGTTGTGATCATTGGACATAAAAGGTCAGGGACAAAGACCCTCTTTCAAACTTGTCTTACTAGATATAGGCTATTTCTAGAGCTCAGCAAAACCTCCGTCTTACAGATAAGTCACTCACAATTTAGGGCCTTCCTTCCAGTCTGTCTTCATGCTGTCTTTTCATTTCTTTCAGTATTCTACATGCTTGTTTCTTCTTTTTTATTCCAGAGTTCATCACCTTTCTCTCCTTCCCCTCAAGCTTGCCTGCTTCCTACTCTCGGGTGTCAGTTTCTTTATCTTTTCAAAGTTATGTTGTACATTTTATGAAAAAAGAGAAGCCTTTTTAACCAGGATCTACGTTCTTTTTCTGTATGTACATTTGAATGTAGCTTTCTGGAAACAACTTTTGTAGAAATAATTACTCTTTCTTTATTTTCTATCCTAAGATGGTGCTAATGATGGGAGTTTCGGGTCATGTGTGAGGATGACACTGTGCTAACTTGCATTATTAGCCTTATTTTCAGTCTTTTTATAGGAAACTTTCACTGTAGTGAAACTGAGCTTTTAAATGTTCCCTAAGTTTATCTTTAGATCTTCCACCTTTGATTACCATTTAATTGCTATTAAAACTGAAGAACATAGAATCAGGTATCTCTTTAAATTATAATATGTGTCCCAAATCCCCTTTGTTATTTGGTGGACACATATGTGCAGGCTTCCCACTATCATCATTTCAATTAAAGTAAGGTACACAAGGTCATTTGTTGCTTTATCTTACTGAAATTTTATATTTGCTAAACATCCAATCTGTTCAAATTATTTAGAAAATAATTATAACAGCTAGAAAATGGACTAAGCGTATACCTTTTAGTTAATGCAGATCATTCACTCATCCAGTAAACCATTTTTAAGGACCACTGTATGATTCACATTTGGGATGTCCAAATACATAAGAAGCTGATATTAAATACATTAAAAGATAACATGTAAGGGAAGTATGAGGCTCTTCTTGGAAATTAGTTTCCCTGCAGAGGCTATTAATACTATGAATATTAACAGTTTAACCTGCTACAAATATTACTCAATTTTTACATGTTGTAAGAGCTAAGACATCTGGTTCCTCAATCAGATATCACTCTGATAAGCTTCTATAATTTGTTTTTGAAGTGCTCTTCACAAAAGGATTATGTGATTCTTGCCACTAGAACGCCACCCAAAGAGGAACTAAATGAGAACCTCAAACATCCCAAAGCTAAGTTGGATAACTTGGATGAAGAATGGGCCACAGAACATGCTAACCAGGTCATCTTATTTGTTTCTTCATATAGTTAAGTTTGTGTTTATTTGACTAACAAAAAAAAAACAAGCACTTTCTTCTCGAGTTACTTGACTAATATTTAAGAGTACTCATTCTTAAGTTTTCAAAACTCGTAGAGTACATCAAAAGTAGTAGTGTTTTCTACTCTGTTTCATCCATGATTATACTTTATATTTGTTGCTAGACTCTGATAGACAGTAGCTCCATGGCAGACTTTCAGAGCTTCTTATTTTGAGAGGGGGTTAAGGTGAATGATTTGCCAATAATTTAGAATGTGACTTTAATACTTTGGTACCATGTAAATGGAGGGTAGGCAGACTGGAGACAGAACAAACAACATAGTTACAGCGATGGTCCAAAAGAGGATGATGTCAGTCTAACCTATACTCTGAACTTTGTGAGATCAAGAGTCACATCTGTTTTGTTTATAGCTATATCCTGAGTGTCCAGCACAGTATTTTAGTGGTTTATAATGGGAACTCAAAAATGCTGGATAAATGAATGCATGAATAAAACTAATACATTGGGCTAGAACTTCATTGCCAAGAATGAGCTATAATGAAGAAGATTTGGTGATCAAGTAGATTGGGAGTAAAGAGACATAGGGAAAGGATATCTAAAGATGAATGGGATTTTTAGCCTGGGTATCTAGGAGGATAGTGTTGCCATTATATAAGGAGGAAACAAATTTAGAGTGGGTGAGATGGAATGTTGAATAAATTAATCCACTTAAAAGTATTGATTGAATGAATTATACCATCTAATAAAGAGTGTTAGAGTAAGATAAAAATACAATTATTTCTTTCTCCAATCGACTTTAAATCTTTTAAATATACAAACATGTTTCTCTGTGTATACACATAGACATGTATTTGTGTTTATGATGGGGGCAGTATGTAGTTATAAAAAAAATTCAAGAAATATTTAATATTATTGTCTTTGTATTGCTATAAAGGAATACCTGAGACCTATAAAGGAATACCTAGTTTATAAAGAACAGAAGGTTAATTTGGCTTTTGATTCTGCTGGCTGGAAGATTGGGCATCTGGTCAAAGCCTCAGGCTGCTTCCACTGTGGCAGCATGTGCAGCGATCAGATGGTGAGAGAAGCAAGAGCCAGGGAAGAGGGTGCCAGGCACTTTTTTACCAACCAACTTTCATACAGGAACTAATAACAGTGAGAACTCACTTATCCTTCTCCCTAAGGGAGGGCATTAATCTATTCATGAGGGATCCATCCGCGTGACCCAAACACGTATTATGCTGTGTTTGATCCAACATTGGGGATCAAATTTCAACATGAGGTTTAGGGAGACAAACATCCAAACTATAGCAACTGTCTTCTAAAGTAAATATTAAATATTTTAAAGTTAAATTCCCAGTGGCTTATAAATAACTTCCTATTTAATTTTGCTTTTGGTCTCCTATAAAATGTTATATTGTATATATATATATATATATGTATATACACACACACAGAAAGAATAAATGAATTTATACAGTAATTTAGATTAACCTTTTTCCTTCTAGAAAGAAATGATTTTATGTGTTGGTGATTTTAAAAAGGTATGCAGGTTTCCTGTGCTAAATATGAAAATCTTGTCAAATTTGTGTTACTATAATAAATAGAATTTATAAAACCAGAGGGAACCACAAGCAGACATAATGCAAATAAAATACATTAGGGATTAGACTCTGGTGTCTAATTTTCTAAGACTAAACTTTGTGATTGTTTGCTTATACATTAAGTAAACAGAAGCTAACCAAAGAACTCTGCTCTCTGAGTATAGACAGTAGAAAAAAAGTCATCTATAAAAATACAAGGTTGTGTATAAGGTCCATGGGAAAACTACACCGAAGTCCTATGGGAGCTCAGAGATCAAAGGATCAGGGAAGGCAGCTTCCTTAAGCTGACTTTGAAGTATCCAGTAGAGGTCAGATGTGTAAAAACATAAGAGAAAGTCAGTTCAGGCTAAGGAAACAGCCTGAGTAAAGGCATAGAGTTAGAAAGCCTAGGAGTATGTGTGGATAACAGTGAGTAGATTTTGGCTGATACTTTATTTCAGAGAAAGTAGTGTCAAATGAGGCTCTGAATGTCAGATTGACCAGATTCTAGAAAGTCTGATATACCAGTCTAAGATAAGACTTGTATTTTATTTAGCTGGTAGTGGGAACCCATTGAAAAAATTTTAGAAGGTGTTTTAGTCTTTGTTCTTATGAGAAAGGGGTTTATTTATTGATGTAGCTAAAGGATGTTGTTATCAGATGGTTTTATTTGTAAAGTAGTTTTAAGTTAAAAATCTAAGGACACTCTAGGAGGATATTTAAGCACTCAAGCAGACTCAAGCAGAAAAGAATGCATATAATGCCAAATGCTTTTATTAGCTAACACTTTATTTCTATTTTTAGGTATCCAGAATGTTACCGGGGGGACTTTTGGTTCTTGGAGTATTTATTATTACTACTCTAGAACTGGCAAATGATTTTCAAAATGCCCTGCGCAGAGTAAGTCTGATATATTTAATAAGATCAGAGTTACACGTTATTTTCATTGACTATGAATATATACAATAATGATCCTAGGCATATTTAGGTTTGTGTTCCATATCCTTTATGCTGGGATTATGTTGAAACAGCTTTTTCCACCCAATTGCTTAGATAGCTTGAGTGTAATAAATGTAAATATTTGTATTTTCAATCAGAGCTGTCTTTATTTTAAAGATAATTTCTAACTATTATTAAACAAGTTACAATGCTTTAAGTTTTTCTTGTGTAATAGCAGTATTCTGCTAGATCTTACATTTAGTAACAAGTGATTGCTAGTATATAAAATTAATAGGTGCTGAGATTCTTCTCCTTCTGTTCCATTCTCTTAAGATTTTGAGAGTAAAACATAAACAACAATAAAATATTTATTTTTTATTCCTGGACAGAGGATCTATCCTGAATCCACTGTATCTTTTGCTTTATTGCTATATCAGAGAATTGGTTAACATAGTCTAAAAATAAATACGAAGGTCCACAAAGTGTTTTTCCTTAAACCCAAACCTAAGGCAAACTCTGCGCAGCCAGTTTTCATCTCTTTTTGCATTCAAGATCCAAATGAACTTTCGAAAGGGTATTTCATGCCCCAAGAAAAGGGGGTCTCATAATCTTGAGAAGCACAAAACCTCACAGAATCCCCCCAGAACTTTTTTTTAGATAAAAAATGTGCAGCTAAGAACCCCAGATTCTACAGTTTCTTCCAGTTTTGTAACTTCTGTCAGATGTCCCGCCCTAAGCCTTTGATATTTGCACCTTAGGGAGTAAGAGAAGAAAATGGAGATATTCTCCTCCCTGGCAAGTTGTTCAATCTTCTGCCAATTTTTTCATTTTAAATAAACTTATCTCTTTCACAGTTGTTTATCCTCTCTGGCACTTTGCAATTTAATCTAAATCTGTATATTTAATATTAATAGCATTTGTTGTGCATCCTTTCGTGGTTGGAGGTGAACTGAATGGGGTGAATATGGGCTCAGTGCTAGAGAGATACAGTCAGATTCTTCATCCTTTTGCTTTTGTATCATTTGTTCCTAAGAATCAGATAAAACTTTAGAAATGCTGTATCTCTGAAATTGTTCCGTTTCAATGATCTAACTTTGTATCTATTGGCCAGCATTGAGAGATACTGTAAGAAATAACCTTCTAAAACTTGTCACCGTCACCTGTAAGATTTATTGTTAAGAATGTTGTTTATTATATTATATAATATTGTGTGTCTGGGAGAAATTTTTTTTATACAGTCATCAAGAAAGTTGTACTTCTTCTTTGAAAACAAACAATTATTTGTTTTCAGCTTATGAATCATTGGAATTATGTAACAAATTAGATGTCTCTGTGCATGTTATTGTTAGAAAGCTTAGAGCCAAATGTGTAACATCCCTTATATCAAGTATGCATTTTTAAGATTCTTATTGCTGACATAAATTTATGTTACTGTTCTGATTTTTTTACTTTTAAGTTTTTACTACATTTTATGTGTCCTTAACCTTAAGTCTTTTCTGACTTTTAAATAGGAAACACTAAATGGGTTACATGCTCCATTTTTGTAGTTAAAATCATTTGTCTTTCTCATTCTAATTAAAATAGTCTCTTCTATATATCATGTAAATGCTAGTTGCCCCAAATTAATTTTTCATATCCAGTTCTATTTAAAACCTAATTTTTTTGTAAATCCCTAAAAATAGAATCTAAAATGTTTAATGATGAGTTTCAGTCTTTATTTTGAAGAAAAGAAAAATTTGTGGTGGTATGCGCCTATCTCCTCTGGAGGCTGAGGCAGAAGGATAATTTTACCCTAGAAACTCGAGGCTGCAGTGCACTGTGATTGGCCTGTGAATAGTAGTACAGTACCACTGTACTGTAGCCCGGGCAACATAGCAAGATTCCGACTCTAAAAAAAAAAAAAAAAAATAGCCAGGCTTGGTGGCATGTGCATGTAGTCTCAGCTACTCAGGAGGCTGAGGCAGCAGGATCTCTTGAGTCCAGGAGTTCAAAACCAGCCTGAGTAACATAGCAAGACCTGTCTCAAAAAAAAAAAAAAAAAAATTAATGATAGAAGCATGGAATTTTAAAGCATAGGGGCATTATAATTGTCTTTTTTCCATGCTGACTTTTTTTTTTCATTTTGCATTGATGTATGTTTTTCTTTCAGCTTATATTTGCTATGGAAAAGTCTATGAATAGAAAGAGACTGTGGAATTTCACAGAGGAAGAGGTCTCAGAACGAGTGACACTTCACATTTGCTCTTCTACAAAAAAGTATCTTTTATTTAGGAGTTTCTGTTTAAAAGTATATGGTACCAAAATAATATTCCTGCAAGTTTTTCCCCCACTTATTTAAATCATCATTATTTTGAAAGTAGGCATAGTTTTGTATGCTTTTTGGTAAATAACGTGATTAGAGCTGCCAATAATAATAGCAATAATGGTTAAATTATGTCCCAGGGTTATATAGAGTTTGAGAGTGATAGCAGAGACTCAGGATTCTGAATGCTTTACCAGCTATCTACCCTATACATCCAAGCACAATAGATCCCCCAGAGAGATATAAATGCCCAGCTGACAGCTTAGGCAAAGTAATATTTTTATTATGTTAAAGTTTTTACCTCCAATTACTGTGGATAAAATGTGCAATTCAGAGCATAAATGTGCTGAGCTGGACAGTGTAGGACACCCAAGAAATTCTTATGTCTTGGCCAAGATCAAGTGGCACTAGAAGCCAGTTACAGGGCCTCCTTAGCTTCTCTCTTCTGCATCTTGCTAGGGGTAGGGTGCCTCCAATCAAGAGACAGACTCACCAAAGGAGTAATGCAATTAAAGAGCCCAGTTAGGACTTCTGGAAGACTAAATTTAAAAAGTGACCATTCCTGCAGAAGCTCAGCTTTTAACTTCTTTGGTATTTATCTGGACAGTTTCATTTCCAAGCCTTGTGATCCAATGAACATTCTGAGGCTTGACCCCGTCTAAAACAGTGCTCTTTTGTGTTATGGAGGGGGAATAGTTGAAATAAATTTCACAGGTGCTTTCATTCTATTCCTTGTGATTAGCAGGATTTATGAATGGTAGGTAATAGTTTTCAAGAACTGAAAGTGCTATAGTCAGAGCAATTTATATGTGTGTGTATACATACACACATGTTATATGTACACATACATATATAGATACATGTGTATATAGCTTTAAGTACATAAAGTGTCATGATTTTTGTAAGAACTCTTGGACGCATGTGTTTTTTTTAATTTTAATTTTTTTATGATTTATATTCTTTTGATTATCAAGAATTTTTGGTCATTTCTATCCTTAATTAGTAAAGAATATTTTGTCGAACTTACGATGTCCATGATCCAAAGGTAAGAAAAATTACTTTTTAAAGATTTTTGTGTTGTAAACTATTTTTAAATTAAAATTCAACTTTATATTTAGTTTTAATTATTTTGATTGCCATCACTTCCTATTGATGTCCACAGCCAACTGTAGTTTTTATTTTGAAATATGCACAATTTTATTGTAGGCAAGGAAAACTTATGGTTTTTTTTAATTGTTAAAATATCTTTGTTAAGCTTCTCCTAGCTTATTTATGCATTTAGTGTTATATTTGAGAAGCTGATAGTAAAAATGACAGAGTATTTTTGATATTAATAGCTGCAATGCCTAGCAAACAAGCTACTTGTATTCAGCCGAACCCAGACTAGCATTTTAATAAAGTGTCTAAAAGCAAAGTGAGAAAGTAACTTTGCAGTATTGTTAGCAAGGATGGGACAGGAAGAAAAATGTCTGGCATCTAGTAGTCGCTCAGTGATTATTTGCTCCACATCAGAATCTTCAGAATTGATAACTATGGAAGCTACAGGTGAAAGTTAGAAGAGCAAAGGGCTTTTCAGAATTCTAAACATGGAACTTTCCAATCTTTTTTCTGTCTGCCACTGGAGGGAGGGGGAGGGTTGCCAGGGTTGCTTAGGATGTATTGAAGAGTACTGAACTGAATGCATGCTTTATTTTCTATTTACTCCTAATCTATACCCCTTTGATCAAGGAATTTGCCCAAATATGTTGGATATCAGCTTGTATGAGTTACTGGGTTGTGCACTTTTGTGTTTTATTGATCATTGTGTTTTACCTAAATCACATCTATTTTATTTTTCTCCCTTCTCTACTGCTAGAGTTCAGCAAAACCGGCAGATTGGAAGTATCAAAATGGGTTATCAACCTCATGGCTTTCTTTAGAGTGTACAGTTCACATTAATATTCACATTCCACTTTCTACTACTTCTGTCAGCTATACTTTGGAGAAAAATACAAAGGTATCAGAGTAAACTGAATTTTCATTCATGATTGCTGAGTGAACAATCTACTTTTATTATGGTTGCCTGTGTCATTCATTTTTTTCCTACTATTTTTAATTTTTAAAAAAAATTTTTTGTGTCATTCATTTTATAATCCTCAAAAATTGCATTCTACTTATAATAACATTGTTATATGAGTGAGTTACATATTACCCCAGCCAGATTAGAAATATTTTTAGAGGTGGGACAATGTCATAATGCTAGCATGTTCAGTATTATAGATATATACTAAACATTTATTAATTAGCATATGTAAAGTATAATTTTTTTTTTTTTTTTTTTTTTGAGACCATGTCTCACCCTGTTGCCCAGGCTAGAGTGCAGTGGCATCGTTATGGCTCACTGCAACCTCAAATTCCTGGGCTCAAGCGAGCCTCCTGCCTCAGCCTCCCAAATAGCTGGGACTACAGGCACACACCACCATGCCCAGCTAATTTTTACTATTTTTTGTAGAGAAGGGATCTTGCTCTTGCTCAGACTGGTTTGGAACTCCTGGCTTCAAGCAATTCTCTGGCCTTGGCCTCCCTGAGTGCTAGGATTATAGTCATGAGCCATTGTGCCTGGCCTTTGTAAAACATAATTACGTAAAAAGTCATACTGTTTGGACTTTTAGCTTTCTCTTGGTCCTTAGTTTTGTTTTCCCTTTTCTATCCTTTTTTTCTTTTCTTTTTTTTTTTGAGATAGGGTCTCACTCTGTCCCCCAGGCTGCTGGAGTACAGCGGCCTGATCATAGCTCTCTGTAACCTCCTATTCCTGGGCTCCTGTTTCAGTAGCTGGCACTACAGGTGAATGTCACCACGCCCAGCTAATTTTTTTTTTTTTTTATAAATAGGGTCTCCCTAAGTGGCCCTGGCTGGTCTTGAAATCCTGGCCTCAAGTGATCCTCCCACCTCAGCCTCCCAAAGTGCTGGTATTACAGGTGTAAGCCACCATGTCTAACCCTTTTTTGTATTTCTATACCATTCTTTTGTTTATATCTCATTTTTCTTCCTTTTTCACACTGAAGAAGAAAAATGGAGGCTGGGTGCCTCTTTTTTTGTTTTTCTCAAAAAAAAAAAAGATGAAGAAAAATGGAGCTTGCTTATTTTTTCCTCTTTATTACTGCTTTATATTATTCATTTGAGGCTTTTTTTCTCATTTTTTTAAAGATAATGAATATTATTGAATTTTATTAACTGTGGTCTAGTAGTTAATAAGCCTTTTGAGTTTGTGATACAAATGTTAGTTTGGGATAAAGATCAGAAAAAACTATTATAAAATATGGATAATGTACTAAAAATTGGCAGTATGCTTTTTTCAATTTATGAGACTGGATTTAAGTATTGTATTACTGATACTTAGGGATCTTATTAATAATATTTCAGTGTATTATGTAGAAGAAAAAAGTAGAGACTAGGGAGTTTAATTGTGATGACATTGTATCTGAAAGATTTCTGTGTTGTATTTAAGAATGGACTTACACGCTGGGCCAAGCAAATAGAAAACAGTGTTTATTTGATTAATGGACAAGTTAAAGACGAAGATTGTGACCTATTAGAAGGACAGGTGAGTTCAGAGAAAACCATCTTATAAAATTATGTGTGCTTAAGGAAAAAATAAAAGATGACTTATCTTTAGTCTTTGCCTTCATGAAAACCAGTTTCATGTACTCATTTCAAAGGTTTTTTTAAAGTAAAAGGCAAATGTTTTTCTCAGAAAATGATGGGAGGAGATTATTTCTGATGTAATTGGAATCCTGAAACCTAAAGTAGAGAGTGTCTTCTGAATTCTCTCTAATCTTGAAACTGTAAACTGCTCACTTATCACTAAAGGCCACATGTTCTTCTGCCCTGACAGCTGTTTAAAAACTATGGCCATTTTCTAAGAGGTGTCTGGATGGGCTTCCAAAATAGCTTTAATCTAAAGGAAGAGGAATTTTGATGATCTCTCTCTTTAGAACAGGGGTCAGCAAACTTTTTGTAAAGAACCAAGTAGTAAATATTTTAGACTGGGCAGGCCAAGTATTGTCTTTGTTACAACTATTTAACTCTGCTAATGTAGCATGAAAGCAGCCACAGATGATATGTAAATAAATGATCATGCTTGTGTTTGAGTAGAACTTTATTTACAAAGACAGATGGCAGTGCAGATATTTGGCCCCGAGGCAATAGTTTGCCAGTCCTTGTTTTAGAGCTGCAGTCCCTAACACCCAGGCCACAGATTGATACCAGTCCATGGCCTCTTAGTGATGGGGCTGCAGAGCTCTGCCAACCTCCCCTCACCATGTCCTCCCTGAAATTTAGGAACCAGAGGCCACACAGCAGGAGGTGAGCAGTGGGCAAGTGAGTGAAGCTTCATCTGTATTTAAGGCCACTCCCCATGGCTTACATCACCACCTGAGCTCTGCCTCCCCCACTCCCCACTGTGGAAAAATTGTCTTCCATGAAACCGGTCCCTGGTACCAAATTGTTTGAGCTCAGGAGTTCGAGACCAGCCTGAGCAAGAGTGAGACCCCATCTCTGCTAAAAATAGAAAGAAATTAATTGGACAACTAAAAATATATAGAAAAAAATTAGTCAGGCTTGGTGGCGCATGCCTGTAGTCCCAGCTACTCGGGAGGCTGAGGCAGTAGGATCACTTGAGCCCAGGAGTTTGAGGTTGCTGTGAGCTAGGCTAATGCCACGGCACTCACTCTAGTCAGGGCAACGAGTGAGACTCTGTCTCAAAAAAAAAAAAAAGGTTGGGGACTGCTACAGAGGACTGAAAGTAGGGAATTAAAGATTTATTCTAAGAGTACTCATTGATACAGAATACGTAAAGTAACATTGTATAAAAAACTAAATTAAAATAGGTAATAAAATTTGTTTTTTCTCTTACGTTATTTAGTATATGTGAGATAGTTTCTAAATTGTCTTTCATATTCCACTTACAATCTCAAAAGTCTGGCTTTTTAAATTTTGTGTTTTTTTCAGAAAAAATCTTCCAGAGGAAATACTCAAACTACTAGTCATTGTTTTGATGTCAGAGTGCTAACACAGTTGGTAAATATTTTAAAATGCTACTTACTTTATATTCATTGTTTCTTAGAATAACCATAATGAAATTGTTTCTGATTTTATGATTATAATTAAAGAATAAAAGAATTTTAGAGATGTGAGAGACTGTATAAAATGTCTAGTTGTAGGAAAGTTATTCACAAGAAACATTAGTTTAGTAGAACCTGTTTGAGTCTTTTGCCTTAAGGCTATTAAACTTTTAACATCAAGTAGATAGCAATTAAAAATGTATGCATATACATACATACATGTGTGCGCTACATGTATGTAAATAATTTGGGTTGTAGGTTTAATGAGTGAAGTCGCAATTCTTAACAACTTAGAAGTAAAAGATATATGCACAGATGTGCAAAGAGTTGTCATATGCATAATTTGAAATAGATTTATATCTCCTCTGATGTGATAAAAATCACAAAATATTAGTAAGTTTTATATTTCTGTTTGGTAGTTTTAAATTACAGCTCTCTTGGACAATTTAAAGTTGTATATCTTGAAGAATAAAAAATTAAAGCCACTAATTATTTCTAAAAGTAAACATGCCTTTGATTTTAAACCTGCTTGAAATTATCCTAATGAACAGACAAGAGTATAAAATAGCACAGCCATGTTTGTAGAAAACTTTTAATTTCAATATTAAACTGGGCTTTGAAAAGGAAATACTACCAGGACTTGGATTTTCTTAACTGAATAAAATAGACTTAAAGGCAATTTGGCATCTGAGGATGTTTTAATTTCTTCCCTTTCTCTGTGTTTAGCCATAGAACATTACTAAATTGTTACTTATGCCACTCAACATGGGTTCTCAATTTTTTATTCAATACCTTAAAAGTGTTTTAGTCTCTTGTTTTCTACCTTTGTTTTGATTTTAGAAGTTTCCTTTGTTTAAAGGCTGGCTTTTTCTCTGACTTTATGCTCTTTGCTAGTTAGGCTTACCTCTTAGTTTATTAAACAGTTTGATTAAAATTATTTTAGTGAAAAAATTTTAGTTGGGAGATGTATAGAGTATGGGAATATGGAGAGAAGACTGGAAAATAATAAAAGATAATTTATCATGATAGTTATCTAATATCATGTAGTATAATATATTTTTGTTGGTCATTTCACTGGTCACCCAACTAGAAATTTTGAAGTGACCAGTATATCAGTAGTCAGTAAGTAATGGTTGCTACTTTTCTTCCACTCAGGTTTCATTGATTCTCTCATTGTAGTGTAAGACTTACCTTTTATTTTCTTACAGTTCCACTGCCAGTAGCCTTATGATAGTATTATTTTACCTAGATTAGCACAGGTAACTTAACTGGTCTCTCGTCATCTATGCGTTCTTTCCAAAAGTGCTCGTTTCTCTGAAAACCCTTATACCTTTGTTTGTATATCTATTGGAATATCTTCCATTTTTCTACTCTCTTGTGTATACCAATTATCCTTTCTGAATCACAGTTTGCATTCATCTACTTAATAATGTTTTTCAAAAATTATTTATTGAGTGTATATAAGAATCAGACACTGATTATGTTACTTTCCTTGCTCAATATTTCTTAATTGCTCTATATTGATGAGTTAGAAAAGTCTAATTCAAGGCTCTTCATAGTCTCAGCATACCTTTTTGTTCTTATTTTCTAACTCTTACTATTCTAGATATATGCTGTGCCTTTAAAATTCTGTGAATTTCCTGAACATGTCCTGCCAGTGCCTTCTTTTCCCTATCACCCAAGCTGTCAAAATCCTATCCGTACATTAAGAATTAGCCCAAATGCCGTTATTCGTATAAGGTTTCATTTGGTCATCACAGCCAGATGGATCTTTCCTTTTCCAAAATACTGTATTGTTATCACAGAAGTTCCTTTACTTATGAACCAGTTGGATTCCAAAGGCTGTTTGTAAGCTGGTTTATTCCTAAATCCAGGTAACCAAGAGAAATTTACATTTGTAGAACCCAGCTACATTTCCACCATCAAGGAATGAGTCAGTCCTTGTATCCTTTAAAATTCTTCTCCGTGTGTGTATGTGTATGTGTGGGCGGGGGGCAGGCAGGTGTCTTTAATAGTTTAGTCTATTTTGGAAAACAGTGCCCTAATTAATACATATATAATATACATATATATTATAAATGAATTATATGTTATAAAACATATGTTATATATTAAATATGCAAAATAGGGCATTATTTTCTAAAATAGTTTTATCTACAGTAAAGATTTGTGGAGTGGATGAGGGAAGCTTATTACTCCTCCTCCACTTCCACTTTATTGATATATCAGTGAAATCTACAAGTGTCATAGGAAGATTATTGCAAATGTAGTATCAGCATTGTCATGCTGCTGCTTGATATGCTGATGGACATTTTTTGAATGGACTCAGGACCTATGGAACTGTTTGGTCTGTGACAAATTTTTCGTTGACATGACCTTGACCATGCTTAAATTTAAATTCTTTTAAAAGCCTAGAAATGTTAAGTTTTGCCTGGTTACATTAGACATTGCCTAAATTACATTAGAATTGACTGATGATGCTCTTTCAGTACATATTCACGTTCTTTCTATTTCTTTCTGTCACCATTTTTCTTTCTTTATTCCTGATTATGTAGCACTTTTTACAAGCTCTGTAAAGTGCTCTGTAAAGTGATTTGATTTTTGTTCTTCAGAATTGACCATATTGTTGAATGATTTATTCCAAGTGTTCTTAGAACATAAATTGCTTTCTTACTATGCCCATTTAAAATTTTTTTTTTAATCATGATTTTGGTTTCCATTGTGATTATAGGCCTCTAATACAGTTTGAGTATACCTGACTTGAAATGCTTGGGACCAGAAGTGTTTTGGGTTTCAGGTTTTTCAGGATTTTGTAAGATTTGAGAATATTTAGGTGAGCATTTCTAATCTAAAAATCTGAAATCCATTATGCTCCAGTGAACATTTCTTTGAGCATCATGTTGGCACTCCATAATTTCAGATTTTTAGAGCGTTTCAGATTTTTGGATTAGGGATGCTCTGCCTATTTAGAATACTTTCAGGGTTTTGGTGTTCTCCTTGTTTTGGCTCTTATTAAGATGCTAAGGTGAAACATATCTGCAAAGCAGCTGAAAACCAAACAGGAGCTAACACTCCTTAGACTAAAGAAGATGGGACTGCAAGATGAAAGTGACTACTTACAACCACTAATATCATTCTCCGGTGTCACGCATAATTGGTGTGTTTGTTTTTGCTCTGAAGCATAACATTACTTTCATTCTATGAAAGTTATGAGTTGAAAGTATATAAATAAATGCATGTCTATGAATTGATTATAATTTTACCATATTTACTACATCCCACTTTTTATTTTAGTTATTTTTGTACATATCTCGTATTGTACATCTTATATCTCCTATTGCAGCAGTCCCTGACCTTTTTGGTACTGGGGACCATTTTCATGGAAGACAATTTTTCCACAGATGGGGGTGGGATGGGAGGATGGTTTCCAAATTATTTAAGTGCATTATATTTATTGCACTTTATTTCTATTGTTATTACATTGTGATATATAATGAAATAATTACACAACTCACCATAGGCTGGAGACCCCTGTCCTATTACATCATGTCTTCTTTGTATATCTTTTCATCTTCACAGCACTTATCTGAGTAATCTGCAAATAATACATTTTTAGTGAATATATTGAATGTATATTGGATTTTTAGATGTTATGTTAGTAAAAAAATTTAAATGTAGTTGTGTTTAATTTCAGTGCACATTCAAGATGCTTAGAAAATAATTTATAACTTACAAAGAGAAATATGAAGACCTATAAATTATTTATGCAGAATATTTTCAAACACTTGACTCAGGCAAAAATTCCTCTCTCTTTGTAAAATGGCTTCCATAATGGTTAAATACTTCCTGTGGTTAATAATTGTTGGCTATTGGAACTTACAACAGATTTTGTCTTTCAGCTCCTAAATTCAGACCACAGATCCACAGCCACGGTCCAGATCTGCAGTGGTTCTGTAAACCTTAAGGGTGCTGTGAAATGCAGAGCTTATATTCACAGCCATAAACCCAAGGTTAAAGATGCTGTGCAGGTACAGAAAGGAATAACTGAAAGCATGTTAACCAAACTATTCAAAAACCTAAAATTTTATCTTTTTTCAGTATCGGATTTTATAATTATTAATTTGATTTTAACTGATAAGGGCCCAATGTTTTGGGCACCCCAGATGTCCCATATTAATATAATTGGTTCTAAGATTTTCATACATAGAATATCTATTTTATGCATTTTTTAAAAATGATAATTATATAGGTTTAGTAGGTGCTCCACAGTTGTATCATATTAGGACATTTGAAATCATTTCTTCTGAGGGAAAGTGAATTTTCCAAATAACAGGAAAAGTATTTATAGGAAGAATTGTTAAGTAGTGTTCTATAATCCATATAGTTCAGAAATTTAAAAGGTGATGACAGGCATTTATGCCATAGTTATACATTTCCTAATTTGGAACACTGGCGTTATTTGTTTAGATAAAAAATTTTATTCATTTTTTTGGTTTTAATTTATCACTTAGGCAAATTTATTACTAGGCAAATTTGCCTTTAAACTATGTGTTAATAAACATGTCAAATAAATGGAAATAAAAAATGGAATGGTGTATCAGTTATTTAGTGGACATGATTATACTAGAAAGCACATTATGTGGGTTTTTTGATAATTAAATATTGTAAATCTAAAGTATTTTATTTCTTGTATTTTTTCGTGTTTCTTTCCCTATAGGCAATGAAGAGGGATATATTGAACACAGTTGCTGATCGTTGTGAAATACTATTTGAGGATCTGCTTTTGAATGAAATTCCAGAAAAAAAAGTTATGAGTATAAAATAAGTACTAATTTTTGCATGTATTCAATTGTTACAATAGTGGGACATCAAGATATAATAGATATGTCATCTTTTATAGCTGCCTACCTATCTTTTATAACAGTGTCATCTTTTATTTTCATTATTGAATGAGAAATTTTCAGTTGTTGCCCAGAAAAATTTTTTTGAATGCTGTAATACCAAATATGTCAAGATACAACAACTTCAAATTTCAGGGAGGATTTTTTTTTTTTTTTAAAACAGGGTCTGGCTCTGTCACCCGGGCTAGAATACAATTGCATCATCATAGCTCACTGCAACCTCAGACTCCTGGGCTCGGGGGATCCCTCTGCCTCTGCCTCCCAAGCAGCTGGGACTATGGGCATGTACCACCATGCTCGGCTATATTTTTGTAGAAAGGGGGTCTTTCTATGGTGCCCAGGCTGCTTTCAAACTCCTGGGTTCAAATGATCCTCCCACCTTGGGCTCCCAGAGTGGTAGGATTACAGGCATGAGCCACCTCACCTGGCCGGAGGATTTTTTAAAGTTATTCTGAATGAACTTTCCCCTGCCAGAATGAGTAAACTGTGTTGACATTTTAAAGCTAGTATTTTTTGTTAATATCTATGTGTTTTTTCAAGAATTTAGCCATAATTAAAATGTTACTCATTAGTGTTGAGTGCTATATAATAGATTCTTTAATACGTATGATTTATATAAACTGCATTAGTTTATATACTTTAGCTATTACTCTAACAGACATTTTTAGGTTTAAAAAAGGCTGAGTTATGGTGTCTTACCCTTTAATAAATATCCCATCTTTTGGGAAATGTAAACCATTTATACCATCTCAGTAATTTATATTAAAAATAATTTTTTTTACCTAAAAAGAAAATTAAAATATTGAGTATGCTTTTTGAAGCTACACCCTCATTTTTCCATTTCTGCTGTTCAGATATGAGTAAATAGGTATATAATTAAAACATACATGTTAGCTTATTAAGGTAATATTTTTTTGTCCATAGGGAAAAAGCATAGCTCTTCTATATAACTAACTTCTATTTTGTTTTTCATTTTATTTGTTTTTTTTAATCTTCTTTTTCACTGGCAAGTGTGTAGAGCAATATAACTAACTTCTTTTAGTACCACTGATAGCCAGTATATTAGGTTTGATGTACTAATCTTTTTTTTTTAGTATTCCTAGTATGCCATATTCTTAGGATTGCCAGATTTAACATTTATTCATCCCACGATTCACAAATTATCCTCAAATTTCATGTACTAATGATATATAATTTTGCTAAGACATAAATTTGCATCTTAGATGCAGCGATTGAATTGAGATTTTTACAGGAAAAATATGTGGGGCCTGTTCATGTAGTCAGTCAGCCTAGCGGCCTCATCTTGGTGTGGTTTTGTTTTTGCTACTTGATTTTGAGTATGTCGTAACTCTCATGGTATAAATCCATTACTTCACTTTCTGAGCACAGTGTGTGTTACAGCCGAATTGTGAATTTTAAGATTTTCAGGGGCATGAGGACATATCCACCATTAACGTTAAAGATCTACTTTATCACACACATTAATATACTCTTTCCATTTAAAAATGCTTTGTAAAAATGATATTATATGACTGTCCTGGTATTATTTTATATTGAGTTAGTATTTTGAAATTTCTGATGTCCAATTAGTAAAATTAATGGCTTCTAATAGCATTTGTACTACTTGTACATTAAATTTGATATATTTAGAAGTTAATGTTATCTAATTATAAGTTTTTAAAAAATGAAAAAGTTTTCACTGGTAATTGAGTGGCCTTGGGAACCGTGTAAAGAAATAGACTGCATAGTTTGGTGGAAAGCGCATAGACTGAAGTTCTTGGCTTCTGTGTCTATTCTACTACTAGTTGAGTGACCTCAAACAAATGATTCAGCCTTTATAAGCATCTGTTTTCTTATATGTAAAACATGAATAGTAATAGTTACTTTTTGAGGATGTGAGATTAAATGAGGTGATGTTTGTAATATAAGTTGGTGTAAGTCAAGCACTCAGTAAATGATAATGTTATTAAGTTAGAGATTATAAAGGAGAAGAATTGCTTTGTTGTCTTTAAAATTTTTTAACTTTAATTTTTGGAAAATTTAGCATTATATTACAAAAAGAAACAAGGTATAAATATATGTATTTTAAACTTTAGTAACAGGATGATTACTCCAGCAACATGTTAGTTTATCTTAAGATATCAAGATAAAAGAATGAATTGTAAGTGTAATAATACAAATAAATGTAAATTTCTAAAGTTGAATATATATATATATCAAATCGTTAGATTTTAGATTTTGTCCTCATTTTACTTAGCTTATTTTTCTTATAGGTACTTTAATATGGTAAAATGTAGAATGTATGCTATGAAATTAACCTGATTTAGAATATTTCTGCAGGCATAAGAAAGTCTGCAAAAGACGTATTAACTTTAAATTCCCAATCTTTAAAACATAGTCTTTGTAGCTGGGTGTGGTGGCACACACCTATAGTCCCAGATATTTGGGAGACTGAGGCAGGAGGATTGCTTGAGTCCGGGAGTTTGAGGTTGCTGTGAGCTAGGCTGATGCCATGGCACTGTAGCCTATGCAACGGAGTGAGACTCTATCTCAAAACAACAAGAAAAAAGTAAACAGTCTTTGCATTCTTTCTATCCAGATGAAAGAACTTAATATTTCAATGACAGTAAAAAAAATAAGAACTCTAATTAATCATTTTACTTATTGTGGTCTTTCTCTTCTTTGATTCTCCTTAAAACATATTCCAAGCCTTCTTCATTATTTGCTGTAAGCCTTCATTCAATCTTGCCCAACTTACTCTCAATAGATCAAATACTCATTGAGGAAATTTAGGTCATCAATTGTGAAATCTCTTACCTTCTTCCATTCCTACATCAGTATCCATCCGTACCACTTATCTTCTAAGAGCATTTGTAATCCTCTTTGCCTGTGCCCATGATTCCACTCTCCTGATGTCATTTCTGTCATCCCTTTATGCAAATGTCTGGTTATCCTTTAAGATTCAGCTCTGGTATCACCTGTTCTAAAAAAGCTTCTATAATACTCTGATACCAGCTAGGGATTCTATTTTTAATGGACAGAACCCTAATTCTTATCATACTGGCTTAAATTTAAAATTTTTTTCTCTGAACTTACTCAAATAATGTTGAATTAGATACTTTGCTATGGGAATATCTTGAAGGATTCTTTGGAATACTTGCTGAGATGTGTCTTTTCAAAAAGATTTCTCATTTTAACCTCAGACCAACTAGAAAACTTGGTTTTATTTTGATATTAAATAGCCGACTGGAAAGTTATAAATGCTTTTTCCTTTTTAATGAGCAATTTAAATTTATTGCAACCAATTATTATCATTATTATTTTTCATAGAGATAAGGCCTCATTGTGTTGCACGGGCTGGTTTCAAACTCCTGGCCTCAAGTGATCCTCTCACCTTGTCCTCCCAAAGCACTGGGATTACAGGCGTGAGCTACAGCAACCAGCTGCAACCAATTCTTTAACATTTGATTTTATAGCATATTATTCTTTTTTCATAAACTTAGAATTTATGTAGTTTGAAATAGTTTTAAAATTTTGCATGTCAATTGCATATACATATTATAGTCATCTTTGAAAGTTTTTACTTAATATGTTTCAAGTAACTGTGGTGCAAAATACAATAATATGTTCCTAATTTCAATGCCTAGATAATTTATATGCTATAGTACAAATTGCAGTAATGTAATTCTACAGCTAGGAGGCAATCTGGTCAAAGAGTAAAATTGTTCTCCCAGTTATTATATGTAAACAAGATAATACACAGAATCTAGAAGGAATACAGTTTAAGTCATAACATGTCCCATGACACTTAAGACCTTGTTCATCATCTTCTGTTTGTAATTATATAAAGTTACCACTAGTTTCTTGCCAAGGAAGTGTAGCTTACTGTCAAAGCGAGCCTTACTTTTCTACTTGATCTTTATGTTAGTAGCTTTTTAATATATCTGTTGCTGAAAGAGGTCATTTTTTACACAAAATCTCTATCTTTGTGATAGTTCATTAGAATCATAGTGTTGAACTAAAAATAATTATGTGTTTATGTTGACCAGTAACTCTGTAAGTTAGAAATTGGGAGAAAAAATATATTCTGGCTTGTAAGTATTCAAAGAAGAATGAAACATAGTTATTCATTATTTATTTATATTCAGATTCGTTTTTTCTAAAAATGATTTAAGGCTGTTTACAAAGAAGCATTATAAGTAAACAAGAGAAAAATCAGTATTATTAAGGAGGCAAAAGGGAGATAAAAAAAGCCAGGTAGGATTGGCAGTGTGAGATTGGTAAACAAAATATGTCTTGATGTCCTAAACATGTTTGATATAGGGAGGGGGCTACGTCTAGTAAGATGAAGTCAGTAGTGAGATGAATACAAAAATGTGTGCTGTTATATCCTGTATGCTTAATGTAGGTGGGCCACTAATTTGAAGAAGGGAAAAATTGACTATCCAATTTACAGTGCTTATAAGTTTAAAACAAACTAGAAGGACAATAATTTCTGAGAACAAGGATGAGATTCTTTCTTGAGTGTTCTTGCATAGACAGTGGACCATAAAAGTATGTATAATCAACAACATCTTTACATCGAAGGCAATGATAAATTTATAAGTTTTATGTGAGTATTTTTATAGGTCCCTTGCAGAGTCTAGGTATATTTAGGTAAAACAGAATTCAGTATGAGCAATTTTGTGCCAGATCAATTAGAAAATGAAAAGACTTTTAAACTTTATTTCTGTTGAATGTTTTCATATACTTCTAAAATATATATCACTGATACCAGTGACAAGCCTATCTAAATATTGATAATATTCCTTCTGCTTTCAGATTCTGAAAAAGAGTTCCACATCCTCCCTCATCGAGTTTTTGTCCCCATTCCTGGATCAACTGTAATGTTATGTGATTATAAATTTGGCGATGAGTCAGCTGAAGAAATCAGAGACCATTTTATAGAGATGTTAGATCATATGATTCAAATAGAAGACTTGGAAATTGCAGAGGAAATAAACACAGGTAATTATATGATGTTATTTAAGAACCTGATTAGACTACAGCCAAGATTACGTGAGATGTCTAATTTCAATAGCATGTCTTTCAGTTAAAGCTTTCAGCCAAAGCTAGTTCTGTTTGACACTTCAAAATATTAACTGAGACATTTAAAAGTATATCTGTTTATTTTCTCTATATATAAACATGTAGTGTGTGTTTTCCTAGGAAATTGTACCAAAATTTAAGAGACCAGTTTTTTCAAACCTAGCAAGGAGATCTTCATAAAACAGGTTCAGCCTTAAATAAGTGGCAATGTAAAGCTTTAAGGTATTTATTTTAATATAAGAGAAAAAATTTCTCAAAACCCCTGAAATAAAATCAAAAAATTTTTTCTATATGCTTTTCTATATTTTCTCAATTTTCTATATCAAGTATAGATATATCTTATAGTTGGAAAAAAAAATAAAGTCTAATTTTTAAAAAAAGAACATTATCTTAATTATTTGCTAAACCAGCATGTCATAAAGTTTTTTAAAACATTTTGTTTTTTAAACAGTTTCTTTATTTTCCTTCTTATATCCCTTCCATGTAATTGGGACACTAAGCTGAGATGAGCAGTTCTAAAAAATTAGATTAATGGTATTTTTGTAGAGCATAGATTTGCCCTACTATCCAACTGGGTAACACATTTTCTTCCCCTAGCCATCACTTTCACCTTTGACCTTATACTTTGAAAGGCAGTTTTGTTTTTTATTTTGCTTTGCTTTGCTTTGTTTTTGTTTTTGTTTCTTATGAGTGCAGGATATGAAAACATGTCTGTAAATAAATATGTGAGTGCAAGATAGTCTTCCTAAAACATTTAAAAATATACCATGAAAGTAATTATTTGTAAATATCAATAAATATTGAATAAATAGCTACATTCTTGAACCTTATGATATCTTAGTAGAAAAATTTTAGGTTATGTTAGAATATGGGTGTTTATGATATTTGAATATTGCAATCTTTTTAAGTCCCTTTTCTAATTTCTTGGTTATTCCTTTTTGCATTGCTAATTCCCATACCCTGCAGGAGTAGTGTTTGATTCATAGTACGCTTGAAATTATGGTGATTAGGTAATTATTTGATTGGAAAATATCAAATCTGTCAGTAAACTGCCTCAGGTTAGTTGGAGACTACCAGGTTCTAGTTTTTTCATAACTCTAGATTAGTATTGGTCATGATGTGGAAAATAAGTTTGTTTTAAAAGGAAAAAAAAAGCTATTCTAAATTGCTCAGTACCTGATGTTTAAGAAGCAGCTATGTTTTATTTTCTTAAAAACAAACGTTTCTAAAGGTATAGCTGGAGCATATTCTCTAATAAATAGTATCTGTTACGCTCTTTGAAAACAGTGTCTTCCAGGCACTGTTTTAAGACTCTTACGAATACTAAATTATTTAATCCTTATAACAACCCTATGATGTAGATACTGTTATTAACACTGTTTTCCAGATGACGGAATTAAGGCTCAGAAAGGTTAAGTAACTATTCCAGGGTTATGGAATGCTGGAGCTGGAATTTAATCTTAAAAAGTTTGGTTTTAAAGTCTGTGCTTTTTTTCTTAACAATTTTGTTGTGTAGCCTTTCTGTGGGACCTAACCAATGCAGACTGTAGTACTATCACTTTCCATGATCTGCTTGGTTTAGCCTGATGTCCTTCATTTCATCCTTTTAAACATTTTTAAATATAGATGAATGATGTTACATTATCCTCGTTGAAGTTCATCTAGATTGTGTCAGTGTAATGTCCCACTTGTTGATTGGAATCTTGGGTCTGTTGTATATGGTTTTTATATTTTTTAAATTCTTTGTCACACTCTCAGTGCATATCACATTCTTAAACTAAGAATGACTAAAGGTAGCAAACTATATCCAAAACTTGCCCCATTCACAAGTTACTTTAAAATCTGATATAAAAGAGTAGGAATGGAGAGAGATTGCATTTAGATTTTTTAAAGACTATCTGTGTTAAGAAATATTTTTAAGTCATTGTTTAGTTTCATGTTGTATTTTAAATATAAATATAACATATAGACTAGTTTATATTACATTTAGTGCTTTTTAAGTTATTCTTTAAAAAACAGTTAATGACAGTTATTAACCTCAGTTAATAAAAGGTTAATACTAATTCTTTACGCTGCCAAGATATTTTTTAAAAATGTAATTAGCTACTACCACTGTAATAGATTCTTAAGAGGTAACTATAGCTGCCTTGCATAACTGCTTCCTCAAAACAAAACTAAAAGCCAATAAATTCAAACTCTTATGAAACTATTATATGTATATTTCAACAAACATTTACTGATTTTTCCCTGAGATTCACAAGGGAGGGCACTTTGCCTCTGTTGCTTACTGTTGTGTTTCTAGCACTTTACTAAGAGCCTAGCCTTAACACATCATAAGTATTTGTCGACTGCACAAATTATTGATTTTTGTCAGTCCTAGGGATTGGGGTCCAAAGAATAACAGAATGCTGATCCTTTCTTCAAGGAACTAAATAGAATTTTTAAAAAAATCTTTGTAGATACTAACTTGTCACTAACTTTTTTGTGCTCAGACTGCTTCAACTCCTCTACTAAAGTTTCTTGTAGTTCCCTGTTTTGTGCTGTTCTTTTATATTACTTTACATACCTGTAATTATTTAAAGCAATTGCATTTTTTTGTTTTTCTTTTTTTCCCACCTTTGATAATCATATTTAATGTTGATCTTCCCCCTTGGACTGTAAGATCTTTGATAGTAAGTAGGTAGAATACTTACTTCTTTATCTGAGGTCTCTGCCTAAAACATGGTAGGTGTTCATAAGTATTTGTTACCGATTAATAAATACTGAATAAATAATTTTAAGGAAACCACAGACATTTTTTTCATGCTTATTTTATGCTTGAAAAATTATAAGCTTATGCCTAGCCAGACATACATGGTTTCAAAAATCCAAAAAAAAATCTGAAATCTGAAATACTTATGATCCCAAGCATTTTGAATAAGGGATACTCAACTTGTATTATTTGCTTCATTATTATTTAATTATTTCTGTTCTGTAATATAGTTGCCAAGTAGTTGCTATGTTTAAAATACATATTTTGCCAAGTAAGTATCTTAAAATAACATACTGTTAAATGACTTAAGGGATGAAGAACAACTTGTTTGTTAAAATGACTCACTTAAGGTGAGGGATAACGGTGGGGCTTTAAAATTTCTTAGATGTGTTAGTCATCTCCTAGTAGACATTAACTTAATAAATCAGATGTACTTTATCCACAGTATCGGCTAAAAAAATTTGGAGACACAACTTTAAAATATGGTGAAACTCATCTTTGCCAATACTATCTTGATATCAGAGCTAAAATTAATTTTTGTTATTTAGTTAAACATTGATAATTTAATTGTATAGGAAAAGTGAGTAATGCTGAAGATGTGATTTTATGGCAAAATTGCTGACTATAGCGATACACTGTTAATTTAGGATTTAGGGATAGAGAAGAAGACAACTAAGGAGATCAAGTCCTAACATTTCATTTTAAGCTTCTAAATGGTCCTGCATACCTATCAGTAGCTTGAAATGAAATCTGAGCATGTCCACAACTTTGCATGCATTCACCATGGCCCTTGTTTTCTCTTTTGTTGACAGACACTCAAGGAGGTTACTTTCTTTGATGATTAATTTGGAATTTGTCTGAATTTAAAATTATGTGATTTTAGGGACTGGTTGAGATATAATTTTCTATGGAATCATCACATTATTTGCATTTAAATTTCAGGTAAAATATTGTAATATTGGTGTAGTGACATAATATCTGAGATTTGCATTAAAATCCTACAAGCCCCCACCAAAAACAGACAAGTAAATTGTTGTGATAAGGCCTTATTCCTCCTTGAAAAACATTCTGCTTCGGTAAAATTATCTCAAATTTGTATCAAATCACATGATTTTGTATCACAGATTTAAAAAATGGATATAGGAAAGCAGTGGAATGTCTTTTATAGAAACAAATTACTTGTGCAGAGGACTTGACGTACTAGAGCATGATCCTTATATATAGCAATTCAATATTAACTGTATAAGTAAGGTATTAAGATAAAACAATTTTCGTGTGCTTTTTATACAAGTATACAAGTAAAAAATTCTTACAGCAAGTACATACGATTAATGCTTCACTATTTTTGTTACCTGATGAAAGGATTTTATTGGCCCAGATATGAAAGAAAAACTTTTTAGCAGAGATATTTGCTAATAGAAGACCCAATGTTTTTTGTTTTTTAAACATGAATAAAATTGTATTATCCATTCAACTTTCAGACCTACAGACTGAAGTTGGAAGAAATTTTAAGCTAGTGGGTTAATGTAGTCTAGAACTAAGGTTTTATAACTTGTGAGAAAACTAGAAACTGTGGAAATGTAGAAGACTGGCTGTTTCTAAAGATGCTATTTCTAAAGAATTTGTTGTTCTTTGTGATTGATTTGATGGGAGAGTAGGAAAAAAGAGAAGAGGGTTTTTTGTTTGTTTTTAAAGTACTTTAGTTATATGCTTAGAGAGAAAATAAAAAATGATGGTGCCCTTGATTCTAATGAGATAGTTACTAGGGATTATTTCTGAAAATCACAGTAAACTTTTCTTCATGGGAAATTAATAAGTAGATTTTTTTTTTCATCTGTTTTGGTATCATAGATATCTATTTAATCAAGTTTATATGTCATCCTTGTGAGCCTGTGCTTGTATTGGGATACAGAAATGTCTGCAGGAACATTTTAAAATCACAACAGTAGGCTATTTTACTTTAAATTTTAACAGTAATATTTTCCTCTCATTCTGTGGTTCTCTTTTTTTTTTGTAAATAAAGGGATCAGTCTGATGTAGTCGCTTTCATATGCAGCTCTCTAGAGTTCTGTGGACTAGCACTCCTTTGCCACCTCTCCCGCCTCTAGGCGCTGGGGGACAAAGGAGCTGTCTGACTCCAGGAGCCCTCCATCTCTGCTTCCACCCAAGTAGTACTACTTTCGTGTATTTTACATGCTTGAGATTTTCTGTCAGATCTTATTTATTTTCATAGGATTCTTCAACACTACAAAAAAATATTGAAAACCACTGGCCTGTGTGATCTCTAAGGATGTAATAAGTTCAAACATTTTCATTATATAAATTCCGATAGGTCAACCTACATAAATTGCTGTCAGCATAATGAAACAGAAAGACAACTTGTGTTCACATTCTCAGTTGACTGGCCGTGACCCTCAAATATGCACTTAAGCTCCCAGGTTTTGTTTTCCATCTGTAAAATGGGATGATGGCTTTGCCTTGCTTAACATTCAGAGTTGTTCTAAGATCAAATTTCTAATCATATTTTGCTTATATATTTGAATATATCAAATTTCAAGTTAGATTAAGTGTAAGCAAACTTTTTCTGTATGATGCCAAATAGTAAGTCTTTTAGGCTTTGTTGACCACATAAAATCTATTTCACATATTCTTTTTTTTGTAGCTCTTTAAAAATATAAAAATTGATTCTCGGCTGAAGAGCTGTAAAAAAACAGGTCATGGGCCAGTTTTGGTCCCTGGGCTGCAGTTTGCTGATCCATGATTTTATTATTAATCTATAATTATTTAAAATTATTAATTGCCAAAACCACCAATAAGAATTATGTAAATTAATCCTCAATTAGGAGTAAAGTTTACCCTGCTACTCTCTGGTTTGACTTTTGATATCAATTTATCTCTACTACTATATAGTAAACAAATTATAGTTTCTGAGAGTCATTCAGATCTGGCTCTGTGGCCCTCTGGTTTAGGTCAGTGAGAAACCTACACTAAGTGTTTGAAAACTATGTCAGTTTGACATATATTCCCTTAAATTTAATTCATCTTGATTTGATTAGGAGCAAATTCATTATATTATAAAAAAGACAAATGAAAGGAAAATGGTATTGATTTTATAGTTCTTTGTGATGTTCTTTAAAACTCATTTTTAAATAATTATCATTTTATGTAGAATTTATTATTATCCTCTTGCAGCTTGTATGAGTTCCTCTGTGAATAGTGAAGCCTCATTGGACAACACAGATGATGAACAACCAAAACAACCAATCAAAGCTACAATAGTATTGAAAATTCAGCAAAACATAGGTATTTTACTTCTTTTATAACATTGAAAAGACAATTTTTGGATTTGAGTTTTCGTATTGCTTTAAAATTATTTTCATTTCATTTTGCTTTCTTAAAAGTGCTAGATTAAGTCAGCATTTATTGAGTATTATGGAAAGTACCAGGCCCTGAAGATAGAAAAATTTATAAATAATGTGTTATCATCCAAGTGCTCTCAAAGATGACACATCTATTTTTTTTTTTTTTTTTAAGAAGAAAAATGTGTAGAGTTTTGAGCATCAGTTAGTATAGTAAGTAGGGCCGATGTTTTCCAAACTGATATTCCTAGTATTACTATTGCAGGAGAATGCAGGAGATTTTGATGGGTGTTCTATGGAAAAAAGTCAAATTCAAGTCTGGACATTTATAATGAACTTTTGTATTTTAAAGGCTCTAAGAAGTGCAAAAGTCACTTGAACATTTTTCAGACTTTTTGAACAAAGAACATGTAGACTATTGTTTAGTGAAGGAACAATTTAAGAACTGTTAAGCATTAAGACTTTTGACTGAGAATTAGGAGCCAGAAGATTTAGTTGTAGTTCTTGTCATTCATTAGATAAATTTGTATGTGCGTGCATGTGTGTGTGTTTCTGTCTGGGCTCTACTCTGGTCAGTTTCTTTTTTAAACTTACTATAATCAGGAAAAAATAAAAGTTATCAACCCAGACTTACTAATTCTTAGATTTTAAAATGGTACAATGTGGGCTTCTGCAGTTTTCAATAGCAACACAAATAGCTTTGCATTATAATGGTTGAGAAACAGGCTGTTGGAGCTGCCTTTTGGTTTGAGCTAAGTAGCATGAGACAGCTGGTATGCCAATATAAATATTTATAGAAGCCTTTTACAGTATTGTTAGTTTTTCTCTTAGGTATGTCTGAATGTATACATGTGTGCAAGAGAGATACTTTGTGCAACATTTGCAATCTGAATTTTCAACTTACTGCTATATTTTTCTCTAAGATTTTTTTTGCTGGCTTTTAGTACATACATATGTGTGTGTATGTGTCTGTGTCTATGATAGCATGTATGTGTATGTATATGTGTGTTGTTTTTTTGACCCATCAGTTACCCACATTTCAGAGCCTAGGATTAATTAAGCCTTTCTTTTGCTCATTCCATTTTCATTTGTTTTGTGTTTGTTTTACTTTTAGGTGTGATTGCAGCATTTGCAGTTACAGTCCTTGCTGTGGGTATCTCCTTTCATTACTTCACTGATTAGGGTGAGGCAAAAACAGCTTCCTGATCATCCAGAGAACATTGATTAAAAATTATGAGTAATAAAAATGTAAACAGTCCATTTCTATTTAAGATAGTAGCAGCCAGATCTGCTGCCATAATGCCTATTTGGTGTGTTTCTGACTAAAATGAACTCACCACCTGCCTTGTTTAGAGTGTTTATATTATAGGTGGCCCAGGTTTCCAAAAATAAAGTTATGCATCTAGATGGAAGTTGCAATAACAAATCGTTATTATCAATTTTTAAAAGGTTCAAAATGATGGGATATTATTTATCATAGATGTGAGTCCTAATCTGGATCACACATTAACCAGGACATTAAAAATTTGAATAGTGTTGACTCTATCTTAGTAATAGAGCTTTAGGAGAAATTTCTACCAAGTGGAACAACGTTGGAGTAAGTTCATCCTCTAGAACCTTTAGAATATGCATTCAGTTCCAATAAACTGTATGTTTTGTTCTAGTCAAGGGGTAGGAAAACTTTCCAGAGAGGTTTGAATCAATCAGTAAAGAATGACACAGATCATGTGCTTTCTCGGGTTAGTGTATCATAACAGTTTTATTTAATATATAAAATAAGATTTTTGCTTTCAGCAGTATGTTAGACTAGATATTGTAAAACAACTGGATCCTGAATAAAATCTACTTTTGAATAGGCTCAAAGGAAGTAGGAGAAATCTTCAAGAACCACACCTCTATCTTTCCTCCTCCACAAAAATGAACAGATTGTAAGTTGGAAATCATGAATATTATATTAAGCATAGAAGTAAACTGTGGTTGCCAGTATGGCAAATACCAATAGCGGCACGCCACATGCAGTTTGCCTCAAACCAGAAATAAGGAGAGACCTGAATCTGAGATGCTGCTCTAGCCAGGACAGTTGAAGAAGGTTAAATGGCCCTCAGTTTGTAGTACTCTAGCTCTTGGCAGAAGCAAAGGGGCAAACCTTCCTAATTTAGGTCTAAGATTCCTATAGATTATGATCAAGTAGTATTACTTCATGACCACACATTATCAGGCACAAGTTGAAACTACCTAGCATGAGGAACAACCTATAGAAAAAATAAACATTGAATTCAGTTCCCCAAGGTCTCATTATCAACATAAGAAACGAAGGATGGAACCACAGGCAGATCTGAAAAAGAACCAAATGGAACTCCTAGAAATGAGAAATATATTTATTGAAATAAGAAAAAAGAAACCCTCAGACACATTGAACATCATTAGAATCAGTTGAAGAGACAAGTGAGCTGGAAGCTAGATTTAAGTCATTGCACATTGAGGAACTAAGAAACAAGGAGTTATAAATTATTAGAAAGTTGATAAGAACTATAAAGACCAGGAGGAGAAAATGGAGGAGAGGCAATATTTGAAGAGATAACAGAATTTTCCACATTTGTTGGAAACACATGAATTCATAAATTCAGGAAGCACAGTATATCCCAAGCACATATTTAAATAAAATCCATGCCTCGACCCAAGGTAGTAAACTGCAAGATAACAAACACAAGATTTTAAAGGTAACCGAAGGGGATAAAAGATCATCAATGAAGACAAGACAGTCAGATACTTAGTAGGCTTCCCAATTGCAACAATGTACCCAAAAGATGATAGAATAATATCTTCAGAATTTTGAGAAAAATTAATTATCAGAATTTGTACCAAACAAAACTGAAACACATGGTCAGATGAAAAACGGATTTTACCATCTGCAGACCTTCGTTAAAGAAACTGCGAAAGGATGATCTTCAAGAAGAAAAATGATTCCCAAAGGATGATCTGAAATTGAAGAAGTAAATAATAAATTACAAATTTAAAATGTTGTTTGCATAAAACTATCGAAATAAATGTTTTTAAGAAATTGTAAATAAATGTAAAACTAAATAAACATTGTTATGTTACTAAATAAACAATGTTGATAATGTGGAATTGTAAAATAAGGTTGTAATTGAAAAACTGGGCAGTAGTTTGTAAGCTGGGAAGAGGTTGATTAAAGTGTTCTGTGGCATTTTTAGTATTCAGAAAACCAGTTAAGATACTGTTTAACTTTAAAATTGATTATGTTAAATACATGTAGTCAGATTTCAAGGGTAACTGCTAAAAGAATAGATAGGGAATGAATCATTCCAAAGGAAAATAAGTTTAAAATATAGAATAGGAAGGCAATAATTCAATACAAATAAAGGAAGAAATTTGGGGGATGGGAGCAAAATTAGAAAGTAAGATAATAGTACCAAGTCTAATAATAATTAAATATGAGTAGACTGAATTACTCAATTACATGACAGACTGCTCAGATTCAAAAAAAAACAAAACAACTATAGGCTGTTTAAAACAAAAACACCTAAAATATAAGACACAAGAAAGTTTTTTTTCCTTTGGGTAGATGCCCAGTAATGGGATTGCTGGATCAAAGGGTAGTTCTACTTTTAGCTCTTTGAGATATCTCCATATTACTTTCCATAGAGGTTGCACTAGTGGAGATTGAAAATAAAAATGATAAATAATACATTGGCCAAATACCAAAAGAAAACTGTGCAGCTTTAGTGATCTTAGTCAAAATTAGACTTTATGATATAAAAGATGGAGAAAGCTATTAAAAAAAGTAAAAGGATCAATTCACTAGGAATATATAACAATTTTAAATTTGTGTATGCCTTATAAATGTCTTCTAAATGTGTGAACTGTATAGGGCTGATGCAACAAATTGAACAACAGTGTAAGATTTCAACAGCTCTCAACTATTGATAAATCAAGCAAAGAATGAGTAAAAACATTTAAGTAATGTAACTATTGATTCAGTGGACATATTTAGAATAATATATTCAACAACTAAATATTTTTCTTAAGCACTGTATGTTAGCAAAAATTGACCATGTACTAGACATAAAGTAAATCACAATAAATTTCAAATAATTGGTATGAAATGGATAATCAGAAACAAATAGAGGTCGATAATAAAGGTTAAGTTTTTAAAAAACATTTATAGAAGAAAGAAGGAAACAAACACTTAGAACCTAATTACAAGTAATGTGTTTTTAAAAATTGGTTGATGCAGCAGAAACAGCACTTTGAAGGGAAATGGCTTTAAATGCTTGAATTAAGGAAAAAGATTAAACGTGTAACAAGTTAAAAAAACAAAAAAACAATATAGAAGCAAGGAGATACAGGCAAAGGAGTAAATCAGTGAATTAGAAAAAGATAATCACAATGTCAAAGTTGTTTTCATGACAAAACAATAAAACTGGCATAATTTAACACGGGGAAATGGGGCACAAATAAACAACATAAAGATTGAAAAAGGAATCCTAACCACATAGTTAAAGCAGAGATGGAAAAGATAAGACAACAATTTAAAAATTTTTGACAACACCTGGCCCAGGTTTACAGGTAAGTTTAACCCCTCTTTCAAAGACCATTCTATCTCAACAGTTTATACAAACGCTTTCAAAGAATAGATGATGAAGGAATAATTTCTAGCTTATCGCATGGGGCCAATACGTATAACTTAGTGATATTAAAATTAGACACATTCAGGAGAAGAAAAGAACTTATTAACACAAATAGGAGTCAAAAGCACCATTAATAAACTGAATTTAACATATAAAAAAGGATAGTGCATCATGACTAGGTTGTACATGTTAAAAATCAGAAACACAACAGGGATACTTGTTACCACCGCTTCTATTTGTCATTGTTCTGTAGAAAAATGAGCAAAAGACAGAAAACTGGTATTTTGAGAGGATATGATTGGATACATAAAAAGATGTTTAATCTCATAAATAATTGACTAACTGAGAACACAATGAATACCATTTTACATTCAGTAGATTGAAAAATCAAGAAATAATACAATGAAGATGATGTGCATGAAGAAGACACCTTTTATACTGCAGGTAGGATTTTAAACTGATACACTCTTCAGAAAGCAATTTGGCACTATCTTGCAGTTATGTATTCCTATACCCTGACCATTCTACAATACTTCTACTTATATACCTTAGAGAAATTCTTGCGTACGTGTGCCTGAAGAGTACACATGTAAGAATGCTCATGGCAACACTGTTTGTAACCACTCAAATGTCCATTTACAAAAGAATAACATAAATTGTGGGGTTTGTAATTTTATTTAGTAGGGAGAATAAACTACATACAACAACCTAGAGGAATCTTAGAAATATAATAAGTAAAGCAAGTCTCAAACATCTACATACAGTGTGATAGCAGTTTTTATAAAGCTAAAAAAATATTGTGTAGGAATACATATATTTGTGATAAAACTTTTAAAGTAGTGATAATAATTCAGGATAGTGTTTATCATCTCAGTGGGAATGAGGACAGGGAGGCAAGGTGTAACACATGAATACATGAAACATTTTTTGGTTCTCTATTAAAAACCACCTCCAAACTTAATTGGCTCAAAACGACAACCATTTCACTTTTCTCACAATTCTGTGAGTTGACAGGAATCAGCTGGGTTCTCCATATAAATGTGGGTGGGGCTGCAATTACCTAGGGGCTTGTTTGTGCTTGAAACATCCCAAACAGCCCATTCACATGATTGGTAATTAATAGTGACTATCAGCTGGGAACTCAGCTACCACACTTGAGTTCTCTTTGTGGCTTGGAGTTTTTCAATGATGGTGCCTGGGATCCAAGAAGTAGCATCCTATGTGAGCATTCCAAGAAGAGGAACATAGAAGCTGAGTCTTCTTGGGACCCTGGCTTGGAGTCCCAGAACATCATTTCTGCTGCATTGTGTTGGTCAAAGTAATCCATGGGGCCAGCCAGATTAAATAAGGAAAAAGCAAAACAACCCTTTACCTCTTGATGGGGAAGGGGCGTGCATCTACAAGAAGGGAAGAGATTGATGACAGCATTCTTCAGTGATTAGTTATTATAGTACACCTGGCGATAGTAATTCATATTCCTGATGTGGAAAATGCACAAACCATCTAGTGAGAAACCTTAAAAGTCTCAATATGGCATCAGGTCCAAGCTCAAGGCCCAGAATCTCATCATCTAAATCAGTTTCAGGTACATATGAGACACCTTTACTGCAATTTCTCTCTAAAAATGCATGAAACTAAAGACAAGTTTTCTTCCCTATATTTACCCAGGGTACAATGTTGAGTCA